CAGTTTCCTTGGCTTAGCGGGATACTATCGTAAGTTTGTTGAGAAATTCTCTGTGTTGGCGTCTCCATTAACAAAGCTCACAAAGAAAGGGGACAAGTTCATATGGGACGACAATTGTGAGGAAGGATTTCTCGAGCTAAAAAAACGACTTACCGAAGCACCAGTTCGATCTTGCCCTACCCACACAAGGGATAGGGTATGATATATATACAGCGATGCTAGCATTCAAGGGCTGGGATGTGTACTAATGCAAAACGGTCGGGTGATTGCCTATGCTTCTAGGCAATTGAAGAAACATGAGGCGAACTATCCTACCCACGATCTAGAGTTGGGAGCGGTAGTGTTTGCACTAAAGATTTGGAGGCATTATCTCTATGGGGTTGAATATGTGTTCACCGATCATAAGAGCTTGAAGTATGTGTTCACTCAGAAGGAGTTGAATATGAGACAAAGGAGATGGATGAAGTTGATCAAGGACTATGACTTGATCATCGACTATCATCCCGAAAAGGCCAATGTAGTGGCCGATGCACTGAGCAGGAAGAGTACGTCAGGGACGTTACTCACATGTCTACAGGTATTGAGGGCGCGTGTGGAGATGCCCACGTGCGGGACCCTCATTGCTAGATTCGAGGTTAGGCCTACATTGTTGAGTGAGATCAGTAGATGTCAGGCCACTGATGAGGAATGTCAGAAGATCGGTGAACGGATCCTTGAAGGGCCAGTTGAGAACTTTCGGGTACGTGATGATGGCCTTTTACTGTTTAAAGACCGTGTATGCATACTTAAGAGTGAGGAGCTCCAAAGGTCTATACTAGAGGAGGTTCATTCTTCGGCATATGCCATGCATCCAGGAGGTACTAAAATGTACCGAGACTTGAAGGAAAGTTACTGGTGGTCGGGTATGAAAAGGGACATCACAGAGTACGTGAGTCGATGCCTTACTTGCCAGCAAGTTAAGGCGGAGCATCAGCACCCGGCGGGGTTTTTGCAGCCACTGACCATTCCGGAATGGAAGTGGGAGCATGTGACTATAGACTTCGTGGTAGGGCTACCACGAACAGTGAACAACTATGATGCAGTATGGGTAGTGGTTGATAGGCTCACCAAAAGTGCACACTTTTTGCCTATCAACATTACTTATCCGCTTGAAAGATTGGCAAAGCTATACACGGAGGAGATTGTGAGATTACATGGGGTTCTGATATCCATTGTCTCGAATAGGGATCCACGACTCACATCTCGATTTTGGCCCAAGTTCCAAGCATCTTTGGGTACTAAACTAAAGTTTAGCACAACTTTTCATCCACAGACGGATGGGCAATCTGAGCGTGTGATACAGATATTGGAGGATATGCTTAGGGCATGTGCTCTGGAGTTCAAAGGAAGTTGGGAAAAGCATTTGGCTCTAGTTGAGTTTGCATATAACAATAGTTATCAGGCGAGTATTGACATGCCTCCATATGAGGCATTGTATGGGAGGAAATGCATAACACCGTTGTGTTGGGACGAGGTTGGCGAGACCAAGCTCGAAGGAATTGAACTTGTTGAGATCACCAAGACTAAGGTGAAGATCATTCAGGATAGACTCAAGACTACCCAAGTTCGGCAGAAGAGCTATGCCGACAAACGGCGAAGGCCGTTGGAGTTCGAGGTCGGTGATGAGGTTTTTCTAAGGATTTCTCCTTGGAAGGGCATCATCCGATTTATATCGAGGAGGAAACTTAACCCCCGATACATTGGTCCATTTGAAATCCTTGAAAGGATAGGGACCGTAGCATACCGTCTCAAGTTGACGCCAGAACTTGAAAAGATACACGACGTGTTTCATGTATCAATGCTCAAGAAATACATACGAGACCCATCTCATATTCTTGATAAACCACCGGTAGAGATACGTGAAGACCTACAATATGCAGTAGAACCGGTGAAGATTGTGGGGCAACAGGTGAAGAAATTGAGGAATAAGGAGATTCCTATGGTGAAGGTTCTTTGGAGAAGTGATCGAGTCGAAGAAGAAACCTGGGAGACCGGGGTCTCAATGAGAGAGCAATACCCGTTTCTTTTCGATTAGACACGTGGATTTCGGGGACGAAATCCCAAATAAGGGGGTGAACTTGTAACACCGTCCCCAAATATATTTAATTTTAAGTGAATAATGTATTGAACCTTATGGAATGGTTAATGAGGTTACGAAGTTGTGAATTTTTATTATTGTTTTTGCGTGAATAGTAAATTCGCACGTGGGTCCCACACCGGGAGCGGGAGCCGCTCGATATTCCCGAGACCATATATTGTATTCATCTTGATTTAGATAATATTCATATGGTGGTGGATACTTCATTTGGGCCATGGAAGGGCCCAGAGTTGACCGATTGGTCAAAAGAAGCCTAAATACCGGTACTGGTAATTTAACAGATAAAAGCCCGAAATGAATTTCGGAGGCTTATAAATTAAAGTTGGGGAATGTATAGTCATTCTAAATGTCATAATGATTAAGAACACATAATATATTTTATTTGACCCGATAAAATATAATATAATTAAAACAGTCCGAAAAATACAACTTTCGGGACCGATTGTACACTTCTAGACAAAAAGGGTTGACCTCCCACATGGGTGGGGGCCAACCCACAAATTTAGACACTCAATTGAGGGGGTTGGCCGGCTGGTGTGATAGAAGTGTATGGGAGGGGAGTGTGAAATGAGAGGAAAGGCATCAAACAAATAAGGTGGACCCTTCCCCCACTCCACTCATTCTATTAAGACAAAAGGAGATACCCACTCTCTTCCTCCCTCATCCCTGCGGCCAGCACCCAAGCAAGAGCCAAGATAATTCTCCATCCTTCTTTTTCCATCCTTATTGAAATGAGTAAATAACTAGTATTGAAATATTAGTTGGAAATGTTAGTTGAATAATGGATGAATGGATCCTAAGAAATTGAATTGTAAAGAATCGGTGATTATTGAGCTGGGCTCTAGACCGATGTAGATAACGGTGATTATTGAGCTAGGCTCCAGACCGATGTAGATTACGATGGTTATTGAGCTGGGCTCTAGACCGATGTAGATAACGGTGATTATTGAGCCGGGCTCTAGACCGATGTAGATAACGGTGATTATGAGCTGGGCTCTAGACCGTAGTAGATAACGGTTATTATGAGCTGGGCTCTAGACCGTAGTAGATAACGGTGATTATGAGCTGGGCTCTAGACCGTAGTAGATAACGGTGATTATGAGCTGGGCTCTAGACCGTAGTAAATAACGATGATTTGACATTAAATGAACGAGGTTAACTATAATATATTGACACTCTAGTTGAGGGTCTTGGAAATTGAAACGTTGACTATACTTAGTATAGTTGTCATTGTACTTGTCAAATGCTTCCAAGTACTGACCTCCCCTTCACGGGGGAGGCCACCTCACAGTTTCAGGTAGGAGTTGAGCTTGCTACCAGTGCCCGTTTCCCGGGAGAATCAAGGAAGGAAGACGTGGTTCGTGCTTCCCCCGCTTTTGTTTTAAAAACATTTAAATTAATGCTCATGGATATATCTTTTTCTGAATAACCTTTGAGGGCTTGGATGCCTAATTTGCCAAGTGTGGCTTAAACACTTGTACTAAATGTTTCCGCTGTTTTAAATGAATGTTTTAAATTAACGCTACTTTATTCTAATTAATTTGTAACTGCCCTAGCTAAATCATGAGCACTACCTACTTGTCGCCTAGTAAAAACAACCTGAAATTGTTAGTTTATGCTCGCAATAATCTGCATTCCTTCACAAACGATCTATAATCTGTCATATCCTCCAAATCACTGCGCACATCCTCAACCACATATTTGGCATCCATCTCAAAAATAATATGCTCTCTTTCCCACTCCCGGCTCCATAACATTGACTTTTGAAGACTCCAAACTTCTTCAGTTGGAGATATAGTTACTTGGCACCATTCTGAATGTGCTAGGTGAAACTTCCCCTGATGATCGCGGACACAACATTCCATCACATCCCCCCTCTCATTTTCAAAAACAGTTGCATCCACGTTACAATTAAGGGTGAAAGGTGGCGGCGGCGGGGGGGGGGGGGGGGGGTTCATTGTGTAGCAACTTTGCTATTATCAAATCTGGAGCGAGGACTGTTGGAAAATGTGTTAATAAATTGCATTAAATGGTTATTTTGGGGCAAATTTTTTAGTGGGGTCCACTTCCGATTTGATTCAGGTCAAAGTGTTTCAGATTGTCCTTGCTTAGGGCTACAATTCGATATATGGTACGCTCAAAACTTACACTTTTGGTGTATTTCTTATAAAAGTTATACACTTTATCTCCCCCAAAAAACAACTTACCAACCTCAAATTCATTTCCGGGCAGGGGCGGAGCCAGGGGGTGCCCAGGCTAGGCCCTGGCCCACCCCAAATTTGAAAAATGTCAATATTTTTAGTGTCAAAAATTTCGTGTAAATTTTTTTCCAATAATATTCTTTGTACCGGCCCAGTCTAGCCCAGTGTCCTGGCTACGCCCCTGTTTCCGGGTATATAACCATCTACATTCTTTTTTACAATATTTATTGCAGGTATACCTCATTTGCACATAATATAAACGTAAAATTTTTTATGTACACAAACAATGAACATGGAACACTTCAACGCAATAAGTTTTATGTGCAGACATTAAAAGTACAATACTTTAGAGTCAAAACTTCTGTTTGCAGTTTGTATATACACAGACAACAAACGAACCACCTTAACATTAAAAATTTTGTGTGTACACAAACAATGAATATATGACACTTTAATGTAGTAAGTTGTTCATACATAGGTATGAACAACATACATTACTTCTACACAGATTGAAAATGAGAAATGTATGTGCATGTAGAGAAACATCACTTGACTACGCATTAGGTGCACCACATACATGCGTATCGAGATCATTATCACACTCAACCCCTTGTACGTCCCCAATGTCCCCCAGACTCCTCTCCTACGGGTGTAATAAACACACCCCATGCCGTTACTACTAAGAAACGACATATTCTCAATACATATTCTCAATACATTGTGTAGACGATACAATTTTGTTTTTAGATAGAAGATTAGTTTAACACATTCTTCATCTTTCTCTTTTGAGGATTTCTTTATATTTCATTCACAAACAACATATTGTTCATCTTCTCCAATCTCCATTATTCTTCAACAAATATAATTTCATGTTGTTAATAATAGTGTTTTTAAGGGAAAAAGGGGTTTTAACAATAGAATTAAGCATATATTTTCATTATCAATCACACTACTAAGATTACTGTCAATTATGATGTTTTCTTTTGAACTGAAATTGTTGGTCTAGTTTGGTCTGATTTGATCTGGTTTGGTCTGAACTGTTGGAGTCTGATCTAGTATGAACTAGTCTGGTCTGGTCTGAACTATTCTTTACTCTACGTTTTTATACTCCCTCCGGATCTTTTTAAACTTCACAGTTTGACTTCACATTGATTAAGGAAATAAATTTGACTTTACTGTTGAGACACTGTTTGACACTGTTTGGCACTGTTGAGACACTGTTTGGCACTGTTGAGACACTGTTTGGCACTGTTTAACACTGTTTTGATGTAGATTTCTTTGCCAAATAAGGAAATAAGGAAGTGTGAAGTTTATTTTGGACCGTCCCAAAAATGAAAGTGTGAAGTTTAAAAAGAATCGGAGGGAATAACTATAAAAATTTGATCTGATCTGTTTAATTCTGATTTGATCAGTTTAAGTGGTGTGAGACCGAAAGCTGTCCAAAAGAAGGAGGATACCGTAAAAAGCTACGTGGGTCCAATTCAACCAACAATCCAACGTTTTTCTTGCCCCATGCGTAGACTCTAGACTGTGGACTCCCCACATTATTCAGCGCGAAATGGTGAAAAAGATGCTTCACCTATAAGCCGATTTGCGACATTGTGATTAGCCCTTCGCTTAATTACATGTGGTTCGTCTTTGTCTGCTCCGTACACATTGATTATTTTGGGTGGGTGCGAAGAACGGGGCAAACATTAAATTTTCTTTTACTGCAAATGATACAGTAGTGCAATACTGGCTTTGTCTTCTCTCTCCCTTTTCATTATTCTTTGAAACCTCATGCCCCATTATGTTGGGTGATGCTTCCTCATATCTGTAATCATATGAACAGTGTGTGAGTTTTTCTGTGGCTGCAATTTAAAGCAAACAAAAAAGAATCGTCTTTTTTCCTTTTCTGTTCTTCGTTTGATATCTATTGGCTCTGTAACTGTTGTTTATGTTCTATTTTTGGGTAAACTTATGAATGTTCTGCAGAGAATGATGTAGCTGAGGTTTCATCGATTTGAAACAAGATCCGAGATGGGTTTCGTAAGCACTGTAATGGGGTTTTTTGGGTTTGGAATAGGGATCTCAATTGGGCTTGTGGTTGGCTACTTCATGTTCATCTACTTCCAATCAACTGATGTTAAGGTCAGTTTGTTTCCAGTTTCTTTCGTTAGTTTATTTGAACGTCAAAAGTTTTCTTTTGGCGTTTGGCTTATCTGCGTGAGCCTGCTTGCAATTTAGTTCATGCTTCAAAGTTTCCTGTTATTGACTTAAACTAGCATTAATTTGAGGCTATTTTCTTAATGGCTCTTTTTTTATATAACTTATTCAGCCCTTTTTAATGCTAAATACTTGTTTATTTGAGGGTGCTTACTGGTTTCTATAATAAAAGTAGGACGAAAGGTACACTTATAGGTCAAATTAGTGGAATTGTGGCAGATATCATTTTATCCTTCTTCAAATATTTATTTTCGTACTATCAATATAATATATTTGAATCTATAAAAATCCAACAACTTCAGTAACTTTATCATCATTATGAGCCATGGTTTCAGCAATTTCGGCCAAATTCACCCTTACCAAAAGGTCTTTTAACTTCTTCTTTTGCTGTTCTGGGTTTGACTAGTCCTGATCTGTATATATTTTTTAATAAACCCCTTCCTCTTTAGGACCCTGATATTCGTCCTCTGGCTGAGAAAGATTCAAAGAGTCTTCAAAAGATGCTTCCAGAGATACCATTTTGGGTGAAGAATCCAGATTTTGATCGGGTACAATCTTGATGAGTTGATGCACTATCTGACACACTTAGATAAACCAAATGGATTCTAATTTGCTTTTTCCCGATGATAATGTAGCTCGATTGGCTTAATAAGTTTGTTGGGGCAATGTGGCCATATTTGGACAAGGTTTGTTTTAGTAAACACTCTCTCTGAACACTCACATGTTACATGTTTAATGCGTGTTGATTAATGTGCGCAAAAGTGTTCAGGCAATTTGCAAGCAAGTAAAGCAGATAGCGAAGCCTATAATAGCTGAGCAAATCCCTAAGTACAAAATTGAGTCTGTTGAATTTGAAACACTTACTCTGGGCTGCCTTCCTCCTACTTTTCAAGGTTAATAAGCTTTTTCTCACTCAAAATACTGTGAATATACAGTTGTTAACATCTGCGATTTAGGAAGCTGAAATGCTCTATTTTGGTTTGTGGAGTAACAGACACTCAGGGTATGTTAGGATCCAAAAATTCTAGGGGAAGGGAAAAAATGTCAATTAAAGTTGTTTTTTAATGTCTGGCTTTACTTTGGGAAATGCCTAGGGAAATTATTTATGGTTATTTTTCACTTAAATTGTGTACATTTAGATTTCTTGTCTATATAATAGACATAAAAGAAATAAGGGTGTAAGAATATCTTGAAACAGATTTATCGAGGTTTTAGTCTATATTTATTTTTTGTACTCTTATCTTTCCCTAGTATTTCCAGAAACCATATGGAGCCTTAGATGATGTGATTATATTTTTGCTTTCTCTAAAAATCATATTGTTGTATATCATGAAATCTTCTGTATTTTAATATATGTAATGTAATTGTTTTCAGCTCTTCTTCAGTCACTTGACATTGTATAGTATAACAGGACTGTTTTCTATTGTTTTTAAGCACTTTTGGCCTTTTGCTTTTAAAAGCTAATAAAAATGTGGTTTTGGGTAGATCTTTCTGCTTAACTTTAAGCACGATGAAGCTAACAGTTGAATGCAAGTCAGATGACGCGTAGAACTGTTTATCTTTTTGTAATATTTAGTATTCACTTTTATTTTCAAACATCACCAAACATTACAATTAAGAACTTTCTTGATAGTCACTAAACTATTTTACTTCTTAAAAGCACAAGCAAATTCAAACCCTGCTCTTCACACCTTAAAGAGTTATTCCCTCCGTCTCAGCTTAAGCTTCTCACGTGCCTTTTATTGAACGTCCCATCTAAACCTTCCAATTTCTATTTTAGGAAACATTTAGCACTCTTAAATGGAAAATTAACCATCAAATATTAAAAATATTATACCTATACATCACAAGTTATCATCAATGACCTCATTGTGCTATATAGTATATACCCATCAAAATTACTTCTGAAAATATACTCGAATTATCTTATTTAGTTATTGTCCAAATAACCATGCCATTTTTCAATGAGAATCTTAAACCGGGACGGAGATAGTATTTTTAAAATTTTATGATTTTGTTCCCTACTCTGACACTCTGACACTATGGATTTGAGTAAGTCTTGCTTTCTTCCTTTATTTACTTCCATGCCAGTTTTGTGCTTTCTGTTTTATATATGATGTTTTACAACTGTTTTCAACTGTTTTATATACTCTCCACATATTGTTTTTTCTCCGTCATCATCATCATCATTACCCCAATGCCGCAAAGGCTCACACCTACGGTGGGGTAGGGGGGTCGGATGTACGCAGTCTTACCCTGTACTAAAGCACAGAGAGACTGTTTCCGGATGACCCATAGTGAAAAACACGTCGAATATTGTTTTTTTCCGTGTTACACATTATTCTTTTCACTTGTGAGATGTTAACTAGGAATTCTAATGTTTTGTTTCTTTCTAATTTATGCTTATTAGGAATGAAAGTTTATTCTACTGAGGAGAAGGAACTAATAATGGAAGTAGCCTTGAAGTGGGCAGGTAATCCGAACATCCTTGTTGCAATCAAGGCATTTGGGCTCAAAGCCACTGTTCAGGTACTTTCATAGTAAAAAAAAGTAACATACGGATTTATGCTCAAGATCACTCAGATATTTTATTTTCTTCAATTGACTCTGAATCTTACTTTTTCCCCAGCAATGTTAAGAGGGTAGTTGTAATGTTTTTATTTTTTGGAGTATTTCAGGTCCTTGACCTACAAGTGTTTGCATGTCCGCGTATTACACTGAAGCCATTGGTCCCAACTTTTCCATGTTTTGCCAAAATACTTGTTTCTCTCATGGACAAGGTCAGTTTTGTCCTTGCAGTTAAAATGGAATCACATGCTTTAGAAGGGAAGTGGATTTTCTAATCTGTAAGGGTTTGGGAACTTGGAGTGCATTTTTGCACATGTCCACTTCTTTTCCAAAGGTTAGGGGGTTCAAAAGACACCTTTTTGAACGACTGTGTAATGTAAAAAAGAAAAAGTTCTGTTTCGTTGTTCATTACTATAATCAAGCCAATAGTATCAACTATTAAATCCTTAATCTTCATGGAACTTTAACAGATATGCTGACATTATATTGCAGCCACATGTTGATTTTGGATTAAAATTACTAGGAGCTGATACAATGTCTATTCCTGGCCTTTACAGAATTGTTCAGGTCTATACCCATTTTATTTCCTGCTTGGACATTAGTATTTATACATGAGTTTGAAATTGCAAAAACTAATCCATGCCCTTCATTGGTCCAATCAATATTGATTTCCTTATATTGATTTTTTTTAAACTTCTTCAGGAAATTATTAAAGATCAGGTTGCAAATATGTATCTGTGGCCGAAAACTCTAGAGGTCCAGATAATGGATCCTGCCAAGTGAGCTAATTATATTTCAGTCCCAACAACCGTAGTTCTTTTGTTGTTGTTTTTACCCTTTTAGTGACACAGCTTCTATCCAATAATGTTGCTAACTAGGGCAACACAGAGGCCAGTCGGAATCCTTCACGTGAAGGTTGTGAGGGCGATGAACCTGAAGAAGAAGGATCTTTTGGGGGCTTCAGATCCTTATGTGAAACTCAAACTTGCTGAGGATAAACTCCCTTCAAAGAAAACAAGAGTAAAGCAAAAAAACTTGAATCCTGAATGGAATGAAGAATTCAATTTTGTCATCAAGGACCCACAATCCCAATCTTTAGATATTGCTGTCTATGACTGGGAGCAGGTATGTATTTAATAATCAAATCCTGTTTATGTGGCTGGTTGGTAGATACTTATTTCCGCTTATCAACCATATGAGCCATTTTTTCCCAAACTAATTTATTTCACTTCTATTTGTGTGGGCTCTAAATGGTTAATCATGAAAAGTAGGGATGGATGCCTTTTTTTTTGTTAAAGTTGCTTAAGATAATCATTTTAGTTTTTTCTCGCCCTTTCTTTCTTTTATGACTAATATATATATAATATCCTCCATCCCAAGTTGCTTCGCCAATTTTGACTGGCATAGATATTAAGAAAGTGAAAACTGGGTTGTTGGGATCAACCACATACAAATTTATTTCCTAGAAGGGAATGTGGCAAAGCTTTTTGGGACAGCCAAATTTGAAAAGTTGGAAAATCTTTTAGGGATGGAGGTAGTCATAAATAATTTTTCGTAATTCAGCAATTTTAACTACATTAGCTGCAACATTTTCAGTAATTTCATCAATGTAGCCAAAACCTCCTACCAAAATGCCTATATGCTCTCTTTCAACTAAAGAAAAAATTACATCGTACAGGTAGGGAAACATGAAAAGATGGGAATAAATATTGTCCCTTTGAAAGATCTTACACCCGAAGAGACTAAAGTGTTGACACTTAATCTTCTGAAAACCCTTAACCCAGATGACCCTCAAAATGAGAAGTCGCGGGGTCAGATTGTTCTAGAAGTTATGTACAAGCCTTTTGCAGATGATGAAATGGCTAGTAGTACCATTGAAGAGACAGGTGAAGTACAAAAGGCTCCAGAAGGAACTCCTGCTGCTGGTGGATTGTTAGTAGTCATTGTCCATGAAGCTGAGGAACTTGAAGGGAAGCACCACACAAATCCCTACGTTCGTTTCCACTTCAAAGGAGAAGAGAGAAAAACCAAGGTACTTTCTACTTTAGAGTTGTAATAGCATATCTTCTTTCACGATTTATAGATATCCCTAGCCCCTATAGGTTCTCCACTAATGATATGTGTCTGGCTCATAAATCATAGCAGGCATTTTTATGCACCCTTTTCCTAATTTATTATCACAGGCTGTTAAGAAAAACAGAGATCCGAGATGGAATGAGGAGTTTCAGTTCATGTTGGAGGAGCCACCTACAAATGACAGGATTCGTGTTGAGGTTTTTAGCACCTCATCCAGGATAGGTCTCTTACATCCCAAGGTGCGCCTGGATTTATTAATCAATTAGTTATTTTTTTGCATGAAAGCTTGCTTGTTGTCTTTCCTGTTTGTTTGCTCTACGCGTTTCTAGTTCAGATAAATAACAACTCTACAGTCAAGAGTTCAAGGCTAACATGTTTACATACATTCAGAAAAAAATGTGCTCTTTTACTAATGGTTTCTGGTAAAATTTTGGATGTCAGGAGAGTCTGGGATATGTGGATATCTCCCTTGCTGATGTAGTGACCAACAAGAGAATTAATGAGCGCTATCACCTTATTGACTCCAAGAATGGTAAGATCCAGATCGAGCTACAATGGAGAACTGCTTCTTGAACAAAGCACTCCAACATTTCGCTGTAAAAATTTCTCTAGAATTCCGTAGTCACGTTTTTAAGGTTTTTTTTTGTTCTGCTTTCATTAAGGCTTCTTTGAGATTTTTTTTAAGTCAATGCTTCTCCTTGTCCATATAGGAAAGAAGGAATTGTATTATTTGGCTTAGAACACGAATCTATTACAATTTCATTGTTTGTCTCCCAATACACAGATCTATTCTGAAACATGGTGTATAATCTTTGGATAAATCAATCCTATGGTCCCCTCTTTATTTTTCTTCTTAGGGGTTGTTTGATTTACATATTGTAATGGACTATAAGTTAATAGAAGTGTATTAATACATAGAATTCCATTTCAAGGTATTGAATTAATAGAAATTAGAAAGAGTAGCCTAAAGTATTGTCTGTTTTTATTGTTTGTTATTGTGTAGTTATTTTCACAAAGTCTTAATATAACAGATCATTTGGATCACGTATCTTTTACTAGAGGACAAACATCAGGACCACGGATCAGATTAACATTACTATCATATAAGGGATTAAGATTCAAATTTCAAAGATCAACTCTATAGGAAGACAGGTTAAAACTCTTACTATGTTAGATTAGCGTTTAACACACAGTTAACCTTACCAATGTTAATTGAAGCACTAATGGTGATGTAGTTTTAAGCGTGGTTGCGTTCCAATTCCAGAAGGCCGTGCTGTCAAACAAAATTAAGCAACACCGTTCCTTAAATAGGATGCAATATGAGATCTTTTTGTTACATATAGTCATGGACCCGGGCCGGTTCCGGTTCCGGGCCGGGCCCGGCCGGGCTTTTTTTTTTGGGAAGGAAGGCCCGGGACCGGCCCGGGTAGCCACCGGGTCCGGTCCGGGTCCGGTCCGGGCCGGGCCGGGCCTCCGGTTCGGTTATTTTTTTTTTTTTTTTTTTTTTTTGCTTTCCTAACCCCCCCACTCACCCCCAACCCCCCCCCCCCAAACCCCCAAACCCCTCCTAACCATCAAGCCCAACCCAACTAAGCCCAAAAAATAAAAATAAAAAAATAAAAAAAAAATCAATTCGGCCCGGGCCCGAGCCCGACCCGGCCAGGCTGGTTCGCCAAATACTAGGCCCGAGCCCGGACCCGCCCCCCCCCCACCGGGCCTAGGCCCGACCCGGACCCGAGAACCGGGCCGGTTCCGGGCCCGCACAGTGGCGGGCCGGGCCGGTCCCGGGCCGGGCGGCCCGAACCGGGTCCATGCCTAGTTACATATGTTGAGGTTTATTCTTTCAACCTGAGGGTCCAACACGTTTCCCTAGGGTCTAGAGTGGTGAGTTTAGTGAATAAGAGAGGTAAGCAAGTAGATGGGTCAAGATTCAGTAGCAAGTGAGCCGTATTTTATTAAATGTTAATAAGGGTCCGTATACAACACACTCTCGCTACAAAGTCTCAAGGTCGTTCGTTTGGTTTACTAAAGAAAAGCTAGATAATTGCTACTCCCTCCGTCCCATTTATTTTGTCCCGTTTTACCTTTTCGGGAAGTCCCACTTATATTGTCTCATACCATATTTGGCAAAGTTTGTGTGGCTCTAAATCATTCTTACTTTATCAATTAATATCAACCACACAAACCCACTTTTCTTAATAACCGTGCCACCCTATTCCGGGACAATATAAATGGGACGGAGGGAGTATTTGCTATGGGTAATAAGTTGTCAACCATTTACAATGAAATAAATGCATCTCAAGGGATAGTTAATATTGTTGACGTGGAAGGCTGTGAATGGCTAGCTTTCCAAACACCAAATCCACTGCATTAAAGGTGTCTCCCGCCAATATCTTGGTTTCCCGCCAAGGTTCATGGACGAGCGTCTTCTGGATCTGGGGCTCTTTGTTCTGGTGGAGCAAGGGCTAGGTTCTGTACGTCTTATGCGAGTATTATGGCCATGGGCCCTAGACTGTCATCCGATGCTTTGATGGACTAAGGCTACAAAGGTCGGTCTTCTTGTTGGGTCAGACAAACATCTTGCGGCCCCTTGGTTCATCATGGCCAATTGCCCCTTATGGACCGTGTATTTTGAGGCCGCGCGTCTTAGGCCTTCCCCCATTGGGCCTTGGCGATCTTCGATAAGGGGGTAATGGGCTGACCCCTGTATTGGGCCATTAACCCAACAACATTAATTACTTTTATGAATCTAGATTAAACGATATATTAACAATTAGCAATAACTCTAAAGATATATGTTTGTAATAAATTGCTATTTTAAATCCTTTGATTACTTGATATATATAAAAGTAATTAAAAAATGTATTATCACAAGAAATTAATTGAAATATACGCAAGTACTTTTTTTGAATTATTGCTCAATTAATTTCTTGTATAAATACAATCGTTTGAATTACTTTTATAAATCAATGATTTAAAGATGTACGGAGTATTAATTATCAATCAGGGATTTGAAAGATACGGAGTAGAAAACTATCAACCAAATATCTAAAATGTAATAGCTTTTGATTTCTTTGATATTTATTTTTCATTGGTAATTTTTGATGATTTCTCACAAAAGTGTATTAGTTTATTAAGATTAAATAATAGTCAAAACTATATTTTGAGCTAATAGATTGATAGTTTGCAATCATTTAGCATCTAGATTGCTAACATTCTTAACTTTAATACCGGAGTATGTATTATGCATTTATTCAAAATTTATAATTTTTCAATTCAATTTCATACGATAGTATTAGAATTAAACAGTAGATAGTAAAAAATAGCATTAATATGATTACAAGTTATTTTTATTTTAATTTGTATATGGTATACTCCTATAGTCCTATAGTTAAGATTTTGTATTGTTTCCAAACCATTTTAAAACATCACTACATTTTTCTAATGTGCAATTATATTGTGCTATAGAATTTTAAAATAACATTGTAGTGTTCCTATAACGTTCACTGATATCGCTTATTTTGCAGTGTTCTTATAATGTTCACTAATATCACTGATTTTGAAACAATGATAATATTCTTCATTTTCAGTAAATCATTTTCATCGCAAATTGTGAATAGATTCTAAACTAATACGTACTCCGTATATGTGATTATACTTTTCGAAAGTCATAAAAAGTAAACTTAGTTTATAAATAACTAAATAAAAAATATTCTTCAAAAAAATGACTAAATAAAAATCAAGATTTAGGATCAAGTGAGAAAAACATCTTAGGAGAGAAATAAGAATAGATTTCAACCGTTAGATCATAGCTCTTTACCTTTTGAAAATTTTTATTACGTGAGCCCCTTTTAGTCATTTTATTCTCTTGGCTAATTAATTGCATATCCGTGCAATTGTTTCCTTATTCAGGAATCCTTATTAATGGTTTATTTCCTTATTAGCTTCATATGTTCAGAAATTAATTATCTTGCAATATTTTAATGATCGGAGAGCAGTATGTGTGTCATTCTTTTATTATTTGATTGATATATTTTATTATTGTTTTTTCGTTTTTCCAGTTTATGAATATTTATGGGTGAAATATGTATTCTAGAAAAAAGTTAAACTATGATTTATCCATAGCACCAGTTCATATGAATTCTTTTAACTGCTACGTGTTGTATACGATAGTGCATTAAATTATTTTACAAACCGCACTTTTCTCCTTTCCAATGTAATATTATTTGATAATTATTCGGTAATACAAGACAGTGCTAACTAACACACAAACATTTGCACTAACTATGGACGAGGGATGCACATTATGCAGTTCTTTAATAAATAGCTTCCCCGTTAATTTTAATTTGTGCATAATGTGCATTTAGTTGTACATTAAAGTGCATTCTTAAAAAACATATTGTATGTTAAGCACGTTTTTAAACTATATTCTTACCTTCTTGTTATCCAATGCACTTTACTCATTATATATTTGCATTTTCCAATTATATGTAGTGCACATTACATATACGTAATTTTTTTACACATACACTGTATTATGCATGATTACATTTCTTACCTATTCATGAATTAAATTACTTTCATTATTACCTTTTATTATGCAAATGTAGATTAAACGTGCAACAACAAAAATTTAAAACATGCACAAAACTCTCATTGTGCATCATCCAAGAGAATTGTTTCATCACACAAGCATAATAAAAAAGTGTACCATACTCCATCCTTCGGAATTAATATTGCACAAAGTTGGAATAAAAGTGCATCTATGTAAAGTGTTGGGTTAATTGTAATGTGTTTAAATATAGTGCACCTATAACATTTAATGTTGCATATTTAGTATATGATCACTCTATTTTTTTCCTCAAAAGTGCATCATTTTAATAACATGTGTATTATAATGTGAATGTAATTGCAATGATAAAATGTATTCTTACGGATCAAAACTAATGCACAAATCAGATAATGATCAGAATGGGTTGTCCGATTTTGTTGATAGAATATCAAATTGAAAATGGAAATTAAGCAATCATTTAATAAAATGAATGACGTTAATTATGAGAAGTTATTAATTACGGAGTATCATAATGTTTGGGAAGTTTTCCATATATGGTGAGGTTCTTACGTGATATCTGGGCAACCACATAGGATGACCTTTACCTTTATACCCTTGATTAAATATAATGTTGCACCCTTACCAATTTTACACGCACACGTTCGGCAATAAATGTGGGGGAAGAGAGATTTAAGATTAAATATAGCCATCCGATTTAGTTAATCAATGGTTAGATCTTATTCTTATTTCTCTCCTGGGGCTTCTTTCTCACAAGAACCAATCCCTAAAAATCAATGCCAATTTTAATTTTACTAGTGCATTTGTTTATGAATATATATAGTTACTTGAAAGAGAATTGGAAATATTATAACATAAGTTAAGGATTGTGAACTTGTGTAACTAAAACTAATGGCATTTCAAATATACGGAGTATTAAGTTGACTGTCAAGCCCAAATTGATTATGTTGACTGTCAAGCCCCGGACCTACCGGACACGTCAACAACCCGCCGTACAACACGAATAGTCAACCGCAGTTCAACACATTCATGCTATACAAGGCGCCTGGAATATCATTCACACGTAGTACATCCATAAACCAACATAATGTAAAATCATTCATTAAAACAGCGGAAACAATATTACAAGTGTTCAAGCCACACTCGGCAAACATGAGCGTACAAGCCCTCAAATAGTTATTCAGAAAAAATAATATCCATGAGCATTATTCATTTTGTTTTCAAAACAAGAACGGAAGAAGCACGAACCGAGTCTTCTTCTCTGAATCTTTCCGAAACAGCGGCCGGTAGTAGCAACCTTCAAGTTCTAATGTCCTGTCCCGCTGTCCTGTTTGAAATTAATATGTTATTTTAAATTTCTAATGCTATTTAATAGTCAAACACAATTAAACATA